ACAAGTAACAAAAGAAAAACAGTATTTGTTGGGTCGTGAAACTCGAAAAATGTTTGCAATAGAAAACTTTGAAAAATCAAAGGAACATACTATAGAAGATACCACAGTCACAACTAAACATTAAATCTTTCATTATATAATGTAATTTTTAAATAATTTTAGCTTATGAAGTTGAAATATCAAATACTGCTTGCAGTAGTAATAAAAAACAATTTTGATACCTACAGAAAAAGAGAATATCACACCACTACATAAAGCAACTCCAACAGGCAAAACTTACTTATTTTTTTTATTTATTGTTTTATATTCAAAATTCGAAGTAATAGTTATGACGTAGCGGTATTTTTTAATTGTAATCGGACCCTACAATATTATTAATTTGTTTTCATTGTATAAATTTCTTAATGTTATTTATTCTATTCCAGGACATTAAACGACCTTACACAATATCATATGCCTGTCAACATGTCAGTTCGTTTAGTGGTAAGAATTAATGTATTAATATTTAGATGTAAAGCTGTATTTTTAAATAAATCTATATAACATTATATGAATGGAAAACAACTTATTTTTAGAAGGTGGACCGAGATATGCAGCAACAACTAACTGCATACTATATTTCATTTGCTGTGACAAATGTCCGTTTCATATTGTTAAAGGCGAATGATGTTGTCGTCTTAAGACACTAGCTCCAGCGTATAAAATACCGTTCGAATTTAGGATAAAACAATTGCTGGACGAGAAATTACTGCAGTATGCCATTCATATAAAGAAAAGTTCAAATAAGACGGCGCATTTTTAGTAACATGTGATGTCTGGAGTGAAATGATGACTTGCAAGAGCTTTTTGGTAGTAACCCTTTACTATCTGGATGGTAAGTTGCATGCATTAATACATATATATTTATAAACATATATTATAGGCACAGTTCTGAAATCGTCGATCATTGCTACAAGAGAATTGTCAGAAAGCCACACCAGTGACTATCTTGGAAAACAGCTGGTGGATATTTTAAGTACATGGACAATCGATTTAAAAATTGTTGCTGTTGTTATTGATTGTAGTGATATTTTATTACCTTGTATATTTGTTTAATTGTTTGATTAATGTCATAATTTATTTTGTAATTGTCATGCATCGTTTTTATTTTGATTAAACCTTATTAGCAAAGGTTTATTTATTACAATTAATAAAACTAAAATTTCCATTATCTATGGATAAGCTACTCCGCCCGGAGAGATTCGATGCAGATCCCAGTTCGCCTGAATCCGATCAGGAATGGACCCACTGGCTAGCTACTTTTGAAAATTTCCTATCATCTATTGAAAAGGCTACTGACTCAGATAAAAAGAAATTACTCACCAACTATGTAAGTCATTCCATCTATAAATTTGTCAGAGATTGCGAAAGTTATGATGAAGTAATAAAAATGCTTCACAATATTTACATAAAACCCAAAAATGAAATTTTTGCAAGATATCAACTTTTGACTCGCAAACAACTAACAGGAGAATCTGTAAACCAATATGTACAAAGTCTTAAGCAGTTAAGTAAGGAATGCAGTTTTGGTTCTGATGCTGATAAGAATAGAGATGACTATATACGTGATTCATTCATAAGCGGATTAAACTGCCAAGAATTTCGACAACGGCTCTTGGAAAATAGCACTTTAAGTTTAGAAGAAGCCATAACTCAAGCCAGCGCCTTAAAATCTGCCAAGAAACATGCCGAAGCATACGCCCAACCTACTTTCCTCAATGCTGTCCCTTCACCTAAAGAGGACAACACTGAGCAAGAACCTCAAATATTAAATGCTGCTTTAAATTGGCCCAAATGCTATTTTTGTGGTAACAAGAAACATCCACGTTCCGTTTGTCCTGCCAGAGACGTAGTCTGTAAGGAATGCAAGAAGCATGGACATTTCGCAAAGGTTTGTCAAAATAAGTTACGACTGAACATACCCACAACTGCAACCATTACTAAAGTTATATTAGCCGTCCCCAAATGCCTTTCTAAAACAACTATATCAATAAAAGTTAATAATGTTGAGGCACAAGCCTTAATTGATACTGGTAGCTCCGACACTTATATTAATGCAAATTTTCTTGCTGGCCTTAATCTCAAAGTATATCCTAGCTCTAGCCAAATATCAATGGCCAAAACTTCATTAAATACTAATGTAGAAGGGCACTGTTTTATTGATGTTTATATCCAAGGTTTCTATTATTACCACTTGAATGCCTCTATTCTGTCAGAGTTATGTGCGGATGTCATTATTGGCCTAAATGTTTTAGAACAACATTCTTCAATTGAGTTTCATTTCAATGGCTATAAAACTCCTTTACATATAGGTGGGCCCCCTACTACACTCTCTACTAATAAAATTTGTAACTTATCCGCTGCCTCTATTGTCTCCCCTGCTCTGTTTTCAAATTTGGCACCAAATTGTAAGCCAATAACTACGAAATCGCGTAGACACACACAAGATGACGCCAAATTCATAAACCTTGAAATAGGAAAATTACTTTCGGAAGGAGTAATAGAAGAAAGTCGATCTCCTTGGCGAGCCCAAGTTCTGGTTACCAGAAATGAGAACCATAAAAAGAGAATGGTTATAGACTACTCTCAGACTATAAATCGTTTTACACATTTAGACGCATATCCTTTGCCCAATATTGATACAAATGTCGGTGAAGAGCGCCTATCACCAAATACCAATACTAGAGAATGAGAAAATATTCACAGGTTTTGAAGCTCAAGGTCGCCTCTACCAATTTTGTAGAATACCTTTCGGAGTAACGAATGGGGTTGCGTGTTTTCAACGTGTCTTAGACCAAATAATTACTAAAGAAAAACTTAATGGCGTTTACAGTTATTTAGACGATATAACTGTGTGTGGGAAAAATCAGGATGATTACGATAAAAATCTAAAAATGTTACTTGATATTATTTCTAAGTATAACCTTAGTATAAATCATGATAAGAGTTCATTCAGTAAACGCTTAATCAACTTACTAGGTTACCTAATTGAAAACAATACCGCGTTTTTCAGAAAAAATTCATAGATTTGTCAGCTCTACTTCGTTTCCCTTAAGTTTGGAAGCAGCAGCTGATTTTGAAAATCTTAAGCTTGAAATTGCCAATTCGGTTGTTACCTCTGTACAGGACTTATAAAAAAGTGAGCAACATCATTCTGCGGTCGAAAAAGAGGCTTATGCTATTGTAGAATCGCTTAGAAAGTGGCGACATTTTCTCATTGGCCAACACTTTAAGCTTTATACGGATCAAAAATCAGTTTCCTTTATGTTCAATAGTAAACACAGTAGCAAAATATAAAATGAAAAAATTTTGCGGTGGCGTTTAGAGCTAGCATGCTACAGTTTCGATATTATTTATCGCGGGGGACCTGAAAATGTGGTACCGGATACGTTTAGTAGAGTTTGTGGTTATATTGGTAATAATATTCATCAGAACAACCTTTTCAATCTTCATGAGGCACTGTGCCATCCAGGAGTCACTAGGTTTGCTCACTGGATACGTTCAAAAAATTTGCCATTTTCTGTAAAAGACGTTCGTAGAACCATCTCTTCTTGTCCAATTTGTTCCGAGCTAAAACCAAAATTTTTTAAACAATGTGGAAAATTAATTAAAGCTACCTCACCTTTTGAAAGATTAAATATTGATTTCAAAGGTCCGCTCCAAGTATCAGCAGAAACAAATATCTCCTAACCATTGTCGATGAATATTCCAGATTTCCTTTTGCTTATCCTTGCTCGGATATGACTTCCTCTACTGTTATTAAGTGTTTGGCAAATATCTTTTCGATTTTCGGTTTAGCTTCCTATATTCATTCCGACCAAGGGGCATCGTTCATGTCTAATGAACTGAAAGAATATTTGCATTCTCGTGGAATAGCTACCAGTCGTACAAGTCCCTATAATCTTCAAGGGAACGGCCAAGTCGAAAGATATAATGGAATAATATGGAAGACAGTCCAACTGGCCCTAAAAACAAAGAAATTAGCAGTTTCGCACTGGGAGATGGTATTAGATGATTCCCTACACTCCGTGCGTTCCTTATTATGTACATCAATCAATTGTACTCCACATGAGCGAATGTTTAACCACCCTAGACGATCAGCTAATGGCTCTACTATTCCTACTTGGCTATCTTCTCCAGGACCTGTCCTACTCAAAAATTTCAGACGCCAAAGTAAATGTGATCCACTGGTGGAAGAGGTACAATTAATAGAAGCTAATCCTGAATATGCACAAATCAAGTTCCCAGACGGAAGAGAAAGTACAGTTTCACTTAGACATTTAGCCCCTACAGCTCATAAAACTTTGGAACAAAATTTAACTAATGAAACTGAAAAGATGGCTTCCAAACTAACGAACCCACCATAGTTGAATCACCGGAGGAAACTGAAAAATTCGAAACTTTAGGAAACCATGATGAAGTTCCCTCGTTCTCCCAAGAGACCTGTTCCAAAACGGAAGAACGTAGTGCGCAAAACCGTCCTATTCGTTCCAGACGAGCACCTAAATATTTAGAAGACTACATAACAAATTAACGTGGGAAGAATGTAGTGATATTTTATTACCTTGTATATTTGTTTAATTGTTTGATTAATGTCATAATTTATTTTGTAATTGTCATGCATCGTTTTTAGTTTTATTAAACCTTATTAGCAAAGGTTTATTTATTACATAGATAATGGTGCCAGTATGGTAGGGGCGGTTGGAAAACCCGAAAATATGGGGAAAAATAAAGATATCCACTGTTTTTCTCATACGGTGAACTTAGTGGTGGAGTGTGTGATGGGGAATAGAAGTATTTCTCCATTAATATCTAAAACCAGAGATATAGTGAAATGGGCAAAGAAAAGTTTGCTTCTAAGGGATGCAATTAGGAAACTTCAGCAAGATATGTGGGTTCAAGAGCAAAATTAAAAAAAAATTATTTTAGACTTAAAAACAAGGTGTAATTCCTGTTTTTATATGATAGAGCGGTTTTTGGAAATGTGTGACATTATTACCCCAGTTCTATTGAGAGATACAAAAGCACCACTGTTGCCTTATGCAATAGAAATGGAGAGTGGAAAGCAACTAGTGGAATTGCTGAGGCCTCTCGAATATATAACACGGGAACTGTCTGGGGTAAAGTACGTTACAATTTCCAAAATTATCCCGACGATAAAACAGCTTGAATCCATTAACCCCCTACAAGAAGATGTAAGTGCAACAAAAGAAACTCTTCCTTTAGAATGCAAAAAGAGATTTGGCAAGATCGAACAATGTCTTCCAATTGCATTTGCTACCTTATTGGACCCTAGGTATTTTAATGATGCTACTGCTTGTGGAAATGCAATTTCTCAATTGAAGAGAAGAATAATGTAACAGAAAAGTCATTATCAAGTGATTCAGAAGATGAAAAGGATAACTATGATTTTTGGAAACACCATAATTTCTTGGCACATGGCCATGGAAAAACTCGAAGCAGGCAGAATGACGAACTCAGCCAATATTTGTCAAACCCTGAATCCTCTTTATCATCTGATCCTCTCCTTCAGAGGGAGGATATGAAAAGCATTTTTTCTTCTTTGTACAAGGAGGCTAGGAAACATTTTTGTAACGTATGTCCCAATAGTTTTGGCACAACATATTTAACTCTATATTTTTGTAATGTCACTTTATTTAAACTTTTATTATTTGCTATAATTAACGACTTAGCAACTGACAAAATTATGAATTTAAACTAAATGCAATTTTCTGCGAACGTTGCTCATTAGGTCCTGGACGGCTACAACATCTATTTCGCGCATTTATCTAAAAATTCTACGCCGTAGTTCCTTATTTTCGGCTTGCCACCCTCCACCATACACTCTGCGAGATAAAAGTGCCCAAAAATTTTCAATTGGCCAAGCCTGAGGTAAATTAGGGGGGTTGTCTTCTTTTGGTACAAAGGTATGTTATTTTGGTGAAGCCAATTTAAAATGGATAGAAAAAATTTACATTATGGTCGCTTTTTCGACCCACAACTGACTAAAAAGCCACATTTAATTTATGTAGGCGAAATATTAGTTATAAAAATTCAATAGGCAATTCAAATAGACGTCTTTAAAGAAAGCATCCTTTGGTAAATATTGCTTCTGATGATAGATAAAATAATTTTATTTCATCTTCAAAACAAAAAAAAATCAAAACACTAAAGAAAATTCCGGATTTTTACGACCTGTTTGAATCCATCGTACGAATTACCAAATAGAAAAACTATAACTAATACTCGTTTGCCCGCATTATATGAAGAAACATTAAAGAATAATTGGTGACTTTAAATCTGTTACTCTTACCACGAATTGTTGGACGTCTGTCAGCACGGAAAATTATATGGATACGGTATATTTTATTAATAACAATTTTCAAACTGAATCTATTATATTAGGCTGTATTCATTTGTCGCAATTACACACTAGCGAGAATTTGGCTAAAGAGCTGAAATAGTCGTTTCTTGGAGATTCCAAAATAAAATTTTGTTGCCAATATATGATAACGCCTCAAATATTAAAAAAGACATTCAAGATATTTTAAAGTGGAATCACGCCCATGCTCTAAATTTAATAGTTATGGATGGACTTACTGTTGTTGATGAATGTTTAAAAAAGATAAGAAAACTGGTTGTTTATTTTAAGCGTAGTACTATAGCTATAGCAAAACTAGCTGAGGTATAAACCTAGCAAAGGAAAATCCCTACGAAACTACTACAGGACGTCTCAACAAGGTATAATTACATTTTTATATGTTGGGAGGCGAGGCTATTAGAAATAGAGGAAGCAGTTCCAACCACAAAAATCGCATCGCAAGAGCTAAAAACTCCTCCAAAGAAACCTGGTCTATAATAAATGACTTAAGGAATAAAACCCGTTCTTCAAACAGTGTAAATCCTAGCCCAGATGAACTAAACAATTATTTCGTAAATGTAAGTAAAAATATCAAATCTAACATAGCTCCGAGTCAGGATGCTCTCTCCTTCCTCCTACCTACTAAAAGGATCACTGAAAGTTTCTTCCTAAGACCAGTAGATAAGCATGAACTAGTGCAAACCATAAACAACATCCAAAATAAATTTTCCTGTGGAATTGATGGCCTGTCCACCAAAATATTTCTAAATATACCGGATGTAGTAATCAACATTTTAACTTCACTGATTAATGAATCCTTTGAAATTGGTCTCTTTCCTAACTGTCTAAAAACAGCTATAATAATCCCACTTCATAAAGGTGGCGACAAAACCAAAACCTGTAACTATAGACCTATCGCGTTATTGCCTACCTTATCGAAGATAGTAGAACGGCTAATGAAAAACCGTCTTTTGCCCTTTCTTTTCAAGCATAACATCCTCACAGCTCATCAGTATGGCTTTCTACCTAAAAAATGCACTAGCGACGCAATGTTTTCCGTTCTTAATGAAATATACACTTCACTTAATGATAAACTTTTCACCGCTTCAGTATTTTGTGACTTCGCAAAGGCCTTCGATTGTGTAAATCATGATATTTTAATTAATAAGTTACAAATTTATGGCATACGGGGTTCTCCTTTACAATGGTTTAAAACTTACCTACTTAACAGGTGCGGGCGAATGGTGAGGATTCTACAAATCTAGCAATAAGCAGTGGAGTACCTCAAGGATCAGTATTAGGTCCAATTTTGTTTTTATTATTCATCAACGACATCACAGACTTAAGAATAAGTGGTAGAATTATTTTATTTGCTGATGACACCAGTGTAACCTGGAATAATTCTAACATGCAGACATTACAATCTATCATAAGTGAAGATCTAGTGACTATTAAGTCCTGGTCTGATTCGAATGGACTTTGTTTCAACACCAGTAAAACTGTAGCATTGTCTTATAGAGGTACTTTACAACCTCTGACTCTAAACAATAATCTGATCCAAACGGTGACTTCAATCAAGTTTTTAGGTCTTTATATCGACAATTCTCTAAAATGGTCTGCTCATATAGATACCTTAGCAAAAAAATTATCCTCCGCATGTTTTGCCATTAAATCGGTTTCTAAAGAGCTAACTCCTTCTACTGCATTAATAACCTACTTTTCCTTATTCGAATCTCACCTTCGCTATGGTTTACCTTTCTGGGGTTCTTGTAGCTTATACCTCTTCGAATCTATTTTTAAACTGCAAAAAAGAGCAATCCGCTATGTATTTGGTTTAAGTAGTAGGACACATTGCGAAAATTACTTCAAAAATTTCAAAATTCTAACCCTTCCTGCTCTATTTATTTTCGAATCCGTCTGCTTAGTTCGCAAGCACATTCAAAATTTATCCGAAAGATCGACTCGTAGATATCCTACAAGAAATTTAGAGACTGATGTTTATTTAACAATGCCCACTTCTGACCTATTAAAACATTCCATTACCTACAATGCCAAAAAATTGTATATTAACCTTCCGATGCAATTAAAATCTATAAATACATACGATAAGTTCCGAAGACTGGCTAAAGCTTTTCTTCTAGAAAGACCATATTACACAGTAGCAGAATTTTATAACGTACTTTAGACATTTGAGTTCCACTTACAATGGCATTAATTAAATAATTAAATATTAAAGTTTAAATTTAAATTTAAAAATTAAATTAGAATAATTATAATGACGGATATTCCATATCCATTGCAATTGTTATTCCTATTTTGTCTGTTTGTTTCTGTTTGTTTTTTCTGCTGTTTAGTTATTTTTATAATATGTTTAGTATTTAAGTTACACGCTTTGTCTATAAAATTTTTGTAAATTTTTTTTACGACAATAAAGCATATCTCTCTCTCTCTCTCTCTCTCTCTCTCTCTCTCTCTCACAATGGCTTCTTTAAATAGTGACACACTACCTATTAGAAGTGTTGAGAAGTAGCAACTATTGGCCGAACTTAAAATAGTGTTGAAGCATATGGAAAAACTTACTAAAATAATGAGTGAATAAAATTATACGACATTATCAAGTGTTATTTTCCTTACAATAGGTCTTGAAGCGAATTATATTAACTTAAATGAAAATAAAAACACTTATTGCACTTTTGGTTTAACACACATGGTAGTGCAGAAAATTTTAGATGGAATTCAAAAACAAACACAATGTTTTTGGATCCATGATTATGGTATGACTGATAAGGCAAAGAAATTAGTGACAGCTTTAGTTAGGGAACTGATCTATAGGAATCCAAAGCAAATTAAACAAAAATATCAGAATACAGTTACACCTGTAGAAAACCTTTCCTCCGATCCACCACAGAAAAAACCCAATGTTGATTTTTCGCCATGGGGTCATTTTGACCAAAAGTCAGCTTCTTTCAAGTCTAGTGGCATTTATTCATCTAGACCACTCGTTAAAGCTCAACAATATTTGGAAGATGACCCACTGGATAAACACGAAGACCCGCTTTTGTAGTGAAGGCAGCATGCATATAACTACCCACTTTTATCTAAAGTATGCATTGAAAAAATTTGGAAAAATTGTAACTTCAGACTCTTGCGAAAGAGTGTTCTCTAAAATTGGTCAAATAATTATTAAGCGGAGATCTAGATTACCTCCTCAAAAAGTAAGGCAACTTATATTCTTAAAATGTAAACAAAAAATAATATGGTTTATTAACAAAAATATTTTTATTTATGTTTTTTAAAAGAATGTATGTTTTTTATTTTTTGAAAGAATTATTATTTTGTTATTAGGAAGGTATTTTATTTTAGACTTTTTGTTTGAGATTTGTCAAATTTTTAAATATTTTTTAAATTTGATAATAACAAATGTTAATACATTTTTATCGTTTAAAAATACTTGATTTGTTTCAATAAATAGTGTTTATTTATATTTTACATAAAATCCAAGTTATTAAATTTTAATTTCACCTAAAATATGTAACAACATTCGTAACGGTTAAATCCGTTTTCATTATTAGACCCAGACCCGTTCTCGTTATTCTGAAACCAACATCTCTACACAAACGTCATTTGTCGTTTATGTCTTGTGTCAAAACTTGGATTGTCATTTCATTTTTATCCGTCAACAAACCAGTTGAATTATCGAATTTAAATTTGAACTTTATCTAGGACATCCGATTTACTAGTTGTCTTAAATATTTTTAATGGCCGTCTGATTTTAAAAAGGTAAGTTTTCTACCGATTTTGTTGAAAATATATATTTAGTACAAGATTTGAATGTAAAATGTCAAATTTGAAACATAACCTCAACATGAAAACACATTGAAAATCACAAGATATCACATGTTTTATATAATTTCATATATTATTTTGTTTGAAATAGATAAAATGCTTTACTATATTTAAATATGTTAAATAACACCTTTTTCTTTATCTATTAAATTG